AGACAAGTGACAGATGGAGAGAGACAGATGAGACAGACAGAGGACACAGACAGATGTAGACACAGAGACAGACAGGAAGAGACAGACAGACAGAGACAGACATGTAGACACAGAGATAGAGAAGAAACAGACTCAGACAGACAGACAGACAGAGGACACAGATGTAGACACAGAGACAGACAAGAAGAGACAGACAGTCAGAGACAGACATGTAGACACAGAGATAGAGAAGAAACAGACAGACGCAGACACAGACAGACAGATGGGCAGACACAGAGGAGACAGATGGACAAACAGACACAGATAGAGACAAGTGACAGATGGTCAGAGACAAGAGTCAGACAGACAGAGACAAAAGACAGACAGGTACAGACAGAAGAGAAAAGAGACAAACAGACACAGACAGGAAGACAGACGGGGACAGACAGACAGACTGAGACAGAAGAAACCGACACAGGCACAGAGAGACAGACTGAGAAGAGACAGACACAGAGAGACAGAGACATGAGAGCCAATGGACAGACAAGAGACAGAAGAGACACAGACAGACAGACATACACACAGAGACAAAGACATGAGACAGACAGACAGATGGATACACAGAGACAGACGGACAGAGGGAACAGACACAGACTGACAGACATGAGACTGATGGACAGACAAGAGACAGACACAGAGATGAGAGACAGAGCCAGACGGAGACACAGATACAGACAGGGAGAGATAGATGGACAGACAGAACAGACAGACAGACAGATGGAGACAGGGAGAGACCGACAGAGGTAGACGGACAGACAGACAGACTGAGACAGACAGGAAGAGACAGAGACAGAATAGACAGACAGACACAAGAGACAGAGACAGAACAGAAACAGACAGACAGAGATAAGAGACAGACAGACAGGGAGACAGACAGACACAGGCAGACACAGAGACATAGAGACAGATGGACAGACACAGAACAGATAGACGCAGGGGCAGACAGACCGACAGAGAGAAGAGTCAGATACAGACAGACAGACAGACAGACAGACGTCAACACAGAGACAGACATGAGACAGAGACAGACAGACACAAGTGACAGATGGAGAGAGGCAGAAGAGACAGACAGACGAGCCAGGAAGACAGAGACAGACAGAAACAGACAGACAGACAGACAGACAGACAGAGGACACAGATGTAGACACAGAGACAGACAGACACAGACTGAGACAGAAGAGACCCAGACAGACAGACAGACAGATGTACACACAGAGACACACAGGAAGAGAAACGGATAGAGACAGACACAGGCATAGAAAGACAGACATAGAGACAAGAGACAGATGGACAGAGACAGAAGAGACAAAGACAGACAGACAGGCACAGTCACAGACAGACAAACTCAGCCAGGACAGATAGACAGACATAGACACAGAGACAGGAAGAGACGGACGGACACAGGCACAGACAGACAGAGACAGAACAGACAGACAGACAGACAGACAGACAGAGATGGATGTGAGAGAAACTGGCACAGACAGACACAGAGAGACAGACAAAGAGAAGAGACAAGAGACAGACAGGGACAGACAGATGTACACACAGAGACAGACAGGGAGAGACAGATGCACAGAGACAGATAGACAAAGACGAGACAGACAGACAGACACAGACAAAGACAAGTGACAGATGGAGAGAGACAGACGAGACAGACAGATGGAGCCAGGAAGACAGAGACAGACAGACAGACAGACAGAGGACACAGACAGATGTAGAGACAGTGACAGGGAGAGACGGACACAGGGACAGACAGACAGAGACAGGGACAGACAGACAGAAGAGACAGACATGTAGACACAGAGACAGAGAAGAAACAGACTCAGACAGACAGACGCAGGCACAGACAGACAGATGGGCAGACAGAGGAGACAGATGGACAGACAGACAGACACAGAGACAGGCAGGAAGGGAGATGGACAGACACGGAGAGACAGACAGACAGAGACAGAGACAGACAGGAAGAGACACAGACAGATGGACAGAGACAGGAAGACAGACAGACAGACAGAACAGACCAACAGAGATAGACACAGGCACAGAGAGACAGACAGACAGAGACAAGAGACAGACGGGGACAGACAGACTGAGACAGAAGAGACACCAAGACAGATAGACAGAGACAGATGGACAGACAGAAACAAAAGACACACAGAGACAGACTGAGACAGAAGAGATCCAGACAGACAGATGTACACACACAGACGGACAGGAAGAGAGTCGGACAGAGACAGAGACAAGAGACAGATGGACAGAGACAGACAGACAGAGATAACAGACAGACAGACGTCAACACAGACAGACAGAGACAAAAGACAGAGACAAACAGAGATGTGGAGACAGACAGACGTCAACACAGACAGTGATGGAACAGACAGACAGACAAGATCGATGGACAGACAAGAGACAGAGATAGAGAAACCCAGACAGACAGATGGAGATGTACAGACAGATGGAGACACAGAGACAGACAGGGAAAGACAGAACAGACAGAGAGACATGAGACCAATGGACAGATAACAGACAGAGACAGAGAGACACAGACAGAGACAGACAGAGACACAGAGACAGGGAGAGACTGACAGAGGTAGATGGACAGAGACAGGCAGATGTCAACACAGACAGAACAGACAGACAGAGATAAGAGACAGAGACAGACAGAGACACAGACAGACAGACACAGACAGACAGACAGACAGGGACACAGACAGACAGACAGAGATAAGAGACAGACAGAGGGAGACAGACATAAGAGACAGACACAGACAGACACAGAGGCAGACAGGGAGAGACAGACCAGACAGACAGACATGAGACCAATGGACAGATAACAGAGACAGAGAGGCAGACAGACAGACAGATAAGAGACAGACAGACAGATGTCAACACAGAGACAGACAGACAGGGAGACAGACAGAAAGCTAAAGACAGAGAGACATGGAGAGACAGATGGACAGAGACAGACAGACAGAGCAGGCCTTCCTGGTCTCTTTTTCCTTGTGTCTCTCGACTTCCTGATCATATTCCTGTTGGTTGGTGTTTTCCTTCTTCCTCTTCTGTCTCCTCTTCCTCTTCCATCTTCTCTTCCATCTCCTCTTCTTCTTCCATTTCCTCTTCCTCTTCCATCTCCTCTTCCGTCTCCTCTTCCATCTCCTCTTCCCTCTTCTCTTCCTCTTCCGTCTCCTCTTCCATCTCCTCTTCCTCCTCTTCCTCTTCCGTCTCCTCTTCCATCTCCTCTTCCATCTCCTCTTCCTCTTCCATCTCCTCTTCCTCTCCTCTTCCTCTTCCATCTCCTCTTCCTCTCCTCTTCCTCTTCCATCTCCTCTTCCTCTCCTCTTCCTCTTCCATCTCCTCTTCCTCTCCTCTTCCTCGTCCGTCTCCTCTTCGATCTCCTCTTCCTCTTCCATCTCCTCTTCCTCGCCTCTTCCTCTTCCGTCTCCTCTTCCATCTCCTCTTCCTCTTCCATCTCCTCTTCCTCTTCTGTCTCCTCTTCCTCTTCCGTCTCCCCTTCTGTCTCCTCTTCCTCTTCCATCTCCTCTTCCATCTCCTCTTCCGTCTCCTCTTCCGTCTCCTCTTCCATCTCCTCTTCCATCTCCTTTTCCTCTTCCATCTCCTCTTCTGTGTCCTCTTCCATATCCTCTTCCTCTTCCATCTCCTCTTCTATCTCCTCTCCGGTCTCCTCTTCCATCTCCTCTTCCTCTTCCATCTCCTTTTCCTCTTCCATCTCCTCTTCCTTCTCCTCTTCCATCTCCTTTTCCATCTCCTCTTCCTCTTCCATCTCCTTTTCCTCTTCCATCTCCTCTTCCATCTTCCATCTCCTCTTCCTTCTCCTCTTCCATCTCCTCTTCCATCTCTTCCGTCTCCTCTTCCATCTCCTCTTCCTCTCCTGTCTCCTCTTCCGTCTCCTCTTCCGTCTCCTCTTCCGTCTCCTCTTCCTCTCCTCTTCCTCTCCCGTCTCCTCTTTCGTCTCCTCTTCTGTCTCCTCTTCCTCTTCCGTCTCCTCTTCCTTTTCCATCTCCTCTTCCGTCTCCTCTTCTATCTCCTCTTCTGTCTCCTCTTCCATCTCCTCTTCCTCTTCCATCTCCTTTTCCTCTTCCATCTCCTCTTCTGTGTCCTCTTCCATGTCCTCTTCCTCTTCCATCTCCTCTTCCTCTTCCATCTCCTCTTCCATCTCCTCTTCCTCTTCCATCTCCTCTTCCTCTTCCCCTTCCTCTTCCTCGTGTCCATGTCCTTCTTCCTCTTCCTGTTCTTCTGATACATCTCCTTCCTCTTCCCATTCTCCTTCCTCTTCCTCCCCGTTGTCTCCCTGACCCCCTCAGGTCGCCTCACATCCTTGAATCTCCATCCCCTGGCCTCCAACTTCCAGCCTCCATCCCTGGCCTCCATCCTTGGGCCTCCACCCCCTTGGACCTCCATCTCCAGCCTCCACTCCTGGCCTCCATCCCCAGCCTCCACCCCATTTGGCCTACTTTCCTCTATCCACAGGGCCTCCATCCCTAGCCTCCACCCTCCTGGGCCTCCTTCCCTGGGCCTCCAACTTCCAGTCTCCATCCCCAGCCTCCACCCCATTAGGCCTCCATCCCTGGGCCTCCATCCCCAGCCTCCAATACCTCTGGGCCTCCTTCTCTGGCCTCCAACTTCCAGTCTCCATCCTCAGCCTCTACCTCTGGCCTCCACCTTCCTGGACCTCCATCCCCAGCCTCCATACCTGGCCTCTAACCCCTAGGCCCCGATCCCTGGACCTCCACTTCCCTTAGGCCTCCATCCCTGGGCCTCCACCCCCTGGGCCTCCAACTTCCAGTCTCCTTCCTCAGCCTCCACCCCTATCCTCCACCCTGTTGGACCTCCATCCCCAGTCTCCACCCTGGCCTCTAATCCCTAGGCCTCCTTCCCTCCATTTCCCTGGGCCTCCACCCCTGGGCCTCCATCCCCAGCCTCCCCCCCTCCATCCCAGCCTCAGGATGGGGGGCCCCTGGGCCTCGCTGCTCCTGCTGCTGCTGCTCCTGTGTAGCCCCCACCCAGCCCCCGCCACCCGCTGCCCCAGGACCTGCGCCTGCTACGTCCCCACCGAGCTCCACTGCACCTTCTGCAGCCTCAGGGCCGTGCCCCACGTGCTGGACCCCAAGATGGAGCGCGTGAACCTGGGGTGAGGCCTGGGGGGGGAAAGGGGGGAAGGAAGAGGAAGGAAGGAAGGAAGGAAGGAAAGAAGGAGGGAAGGAGGGAAGGAGGGAAAGAAGGAAGGAGAGAAGGAGGGAAGGAAGGAGGATGGAGGGAAGGAAGGGAGAATAGAAGGAAGGAAGGAAGGAGGGAAGGAAAGAAGGAAGGAAGGAGGGAAGGAAAGAAGGAAGGAAGGAGGGAAGGAAGGAGGGAGGGAAGGAAGGAGGGAGGGAGGGAAGGAAGGAGGGAAGGATGGAAGGAAGGAAGGAGGGAGGGAAGGAAGGAGGGAAGGAAGGAGGGAAGGAGGGAAGGAAAGAAGGAAGGAAGGAGGGAAGGAGGGAGGGAAGGAAGGAAGGAGGGAGGGAAGGAAGGAAGGAAGCGAGGGAGGAAAGGAAGGAAAGAAGGAAGGAAGATGATGATGAGTAATGATTCATTATTCTTGACCCTGACCCGGAAACAAAAGTCCTGCCCTCCCAGCGCTGGTTTTCAGGCTGGTTTCCTGATTTCCTCTTCCTGTCCTCTCATCTGTTGAATTAGGTTCAACCACATCCGGGTCCTGACGCACGCTTCCTTCTCCGGTCTCGCGAGACTTCAGCTGCTGCTGCTGCACGGAAACGAGATCGCAGACATCACCAAGGGCGCCCTGAGCGACCTGGGTGCACTGCAGGTGCGCAGGGAGTGGGCGGAATTGGAAGGAAGTGGAAGGAAGTTTGGCAGGAAGTGGGGGTAGAAATACGCAGTGAAGTGGGACAAAGTAGGGGAGGAAGTGGGGTGGAAGTTTGAGGAAATAGATACGGAAGTGGGAGGAAGTAGGGCTGGAAGTGGGAAGGAAGTTAGAGGAAGAAGGAAGTGGGAAAAGAGTAGGGAGGAAGGAGGGGGGAAATGCGGAAGCAGAAATGGGGATCAAATAGCAAAGGAAGTGGGGAGGAAGTAGGGAATCAATGGAGGAAGTAGAGACGGACATGGAAGGAAGTCGAGGCAGAAGGGAGGCGGAAGTGGGGCAGAAGTGAGACGGAAATGGATAAGGACCTGGGAAGAAGTAGGGCCGGAAGTGTAGCCGGATGTTGAGTGGAAATAGGGAAGGAAGTGGAGCGGAAGTGGGTCGGAAGTAGTGAGGATATGGATCTGAAGTGGAAGTAGGGCCGGAAGTGGGGTGGAAATTGGGAAGTAGGGAGGAAGTGTGAGGAAGTAGGGGCAAAAATAAGCTGGAAGTGGGGAGGAAGTGGGAGGAACTAGGGGCGGAAATGGGGCGGAAGTGGTTAGGATATGGTTCCGGAAGTGAGAAGTGGGGTGGAAATAGGGAAGGAAGTGGGGAGGAAGCAGGACGAAGTAGGGGCGGAAGTAAGGTGGAAGTGGGGCGGAAGTGGTGAGGATATGGATCCGGAAGTGGAGTGAAAATAGGGAAGGAAGTGGGGAGGAAGTGGGGGCGGAAGTGACCCAGAAGTGGGGAATGATACATAGCCGGAAGAGGGGAAGAAAGTGGAAATAGGACCATGGGTAGGACCGGAAGTGGGGCAGAAATAAGGAAGGAAATGGGTAGGAAGTGGGAGGAAGTCGGGGCTGAAGTGAGGCGGAAGTGAGCCAGAAGTGGGGCAGAAGTGGTGAGGATATGGATCCAGAAGTGACAGGAAGTAGGGTCGTAACTGTGGCCGGAAGTGCGGAGGAACTTGGAGTAAGTAGAGGCGGAAGTCAGCCGGAAGTGGGGAGGAAGTGACCCGGAACTGGGGCGGAAGTGAGTTGGAAGTAGGGAGGAAGTGAGACTGGGGCAGAAGTGGGAACGGAAGAAGTGAGGAAATGTACTCGGAAGTGGGAGGAAGTAGAGGCAGAAGTCAGCAGAAGCCGGATGTGGAGCAGAAGTGTGACAGGAAGTGGTACGGAAGTAGGGCAGAAGTGAGACCGGAAGGGGGCGAAAGAGACCAGAAGTGGGGAGGAAGTGACCCCGAAGTGGCCCTTCAGATCCCAGAAACGCCCCCTTTGACCCACGCAGGTGCTGAAGCTGAGCTACAACCAGCTTCGGGCACTGCACACGGGCTCCCTGCGGGGTCTGCGGCGCCTGTCCCGGCTGTACCTGGACCACAACCGGCTGGAGTCGGTGCACCCATGGGCACTGCTGGGGCTGGCATCGCTGCGGCTGCTGCGTCTGGATGGGAACCGGCTGGCGGCGCTGGCGCCCGAGGCGCTGGCCACGCTGCGTGTGCGCGGGGTCCCGGCCTGCACGCTGGGCGTGCTGCACCTGGCCGGGAACCGCCTGGCAGCGCTGCCTGCCGGCACCCTGGCCCGCGCACCTGCGCTGCGCGTGCTGCATCTACAGGGTAACCCCTGGGCCTGCAGCTGCCGCGCGCGCTGGATGGAGGGCCTGCAGGGGCGGGGCCGAGGTGAGCAGAGGGGGCGTGGTCAAGTGCAGGCCAATGAGAGGGCGGGGCGGGGCTGAGGCGATGCAGAGAGGGAGCGTGACCAAGCTACAGCCAGTGAAAAAGGACGGGGTCGTGGCTGGGCGTAAGTGAGTAGCCGAGCTCCCTGAGTCATGTGGGGCAGAGGCGTGGCCGAGGTGCCCAGGGGGGCGTGGCCGAGCTCCAGCCAGTAAAAAACGGCAGCAGTGTGGCTGGGCGTGACTGGGCATTAGTGAGGAGCTGCAGGGGGCGTGGCAAGGTCTAGCCACTAAGGCGTGGCGGGGACGTTGCTGAGGCTCCACAGGGAGGGTGTGGCCCAGCTTCAGCCACTCAGGCAGGGCGAGGGTGTGGCTAAGGCTCCACGGGGGCGTGGCCGAGGTCCAGCCAGTTAGGTGAGATGAGGACGTGGCTGAGCTGACACAGGGGGGCATGGCTGAGCTCCAGCCAGTCAGGCAGGGCAGGGGTTTGGCTGAGGCTCGGCAGGGGGTGTGGCCAATCTCCAGCCAGTCAGGCATGGCGGGGGCGTGGCTGAGAACCCCCAGGAAGGGCGTGGCCGAGCTCCAGCCAGTCAGGCGCGGCGGGAGCGTGGCCGAGGCTCCCCAGGGGGGCGTGTCCCATGTCAGCCCCGCCCCTCTCCCGACCCCCCTGCAGGCGTGCTGCGCTGTGGGAAGGAACAGGCGTGCGCGGCCTGTGCCAGCCCCGCCGACCGCCGCGGCCTGGACCTGCGTCGCCTGCCGCCACGCATGCGCTGTCGGTCGCCGCGCATCCTCACTGACCCGGGGGATGGCGAGGAGCCGCCAGAAGCGGAAGTGGAGGCAGAGGAAGAGGAAGTGGAGGACGGGGAGGATGTGGGCGAAGTGCGGCTGAGGCTGACAGACGCCCGTGGCCGTACCGCCCACCTTGCCTGCCGCCTGCGGCACGCGCCCGTCGTGCGCGACCTCGACGTGCGGCCCGGCCTCGCCCCCGACACCCCTGCGCACGTGCGCCTGACGCTTAGTGCCGCCCTCGTCTGCTATGCCGACCCTGCCCACCTCGCACATGCCCGCCGCCTGCTGGGAGGCGATGACACTGATGACGTCGCGCTGATGATGCGCTGGGACCCAGAGGCGCCGCGCCATGCCCACTCGGATGGGGACCTGGGAGATGGATCCGGGGAAGGCCACGCCCAACCCTCGGGCGGAGACCCTGATGGGGATGAGCTGTATCAGGACAGGCACCCGGATGTAGGCCACGCCCACCGTCAGGGCGGAGACCCGGATGTGGACCATATGTATCAGGCCACAGACTCAGATGTAGGCCAGGCCCACCATCGAACCAGGAACCCTGATATAGGCCACGTCCACCAGGGAGCCAGAGACCCTGATGTAGGCCCTGCCCACGCTCAGGACAGAGACCCGGTTGTAGGCCACACCCATCTGCAGGACAAATACCCGGATGTAAGCTATATGTATCAAGCCCGAGACCCGGATGTAGGGCCCTCCCGCCAGCAGGACAGACACCCGGATGTAGGCCATGAGTATGATCAGGACATAGGCCCCGCCCACCCTGAGGCCAGTTTCCCCGATGTCCATGACCCGGATGTGGGCAAGGCCTACCGCCTGGTGCGGGGCCCTGGCTTGTCGTCATCTTCGCCAACGTCAGTTCCGGGCGTGGTGGCCCGGCTGTGGGCGCGGCCTGCCTGGCTGCTGCAGCCCGAGCTGACGCTGCGCTGGGCCGGGCTGCGCGGGCCACACATGCATCTGACGTGGACGGCGTGCGTGCGTGGCCCCGAGGACCCGGAGGACGCGCCCTGGGTGACCCTCGACCCCCGTGATGACCCCGATGACGTGCACGTGGTGACCCCGGGGCAGACGCTGCGGCTGCACTGTGCGGCGCAAGGCTCGGAAACACCACGCGTGGCCTGGACGCAGCCTGACGGCTCCGTCCTGCTGGGCGATGAGGACGGCGGCCATGACGGGGGAACAACGCTGGAGATCCACGAGGTGCGCCAGGCCGACGCTGGCTGGTATCGCTGCGAGGCCCGAGTGGGGCGCCACGGGGAAACCGAGGGATGGCACGTGGCCTACAGCAGGGACGGAGCCACGGGGTCCGGGGCCTACGTGGAGGAGGAAGCCATGGAATCTGAGGCCTATGGTGTGAATGAAGCCATAGGATCCAAGGCCTACGCTGAGGAGAAAGCCACGAGATCTGAGGCCTATGCTGAGGAAAAAGCCACAAGATCCGAGGCCTACCCTGAGGAGAAAGCCACAGGATCCCAGGCCTATGCTGAGGAGAAAGCCATCAAATCTGAGGGCTATGACGTGAATGAAGCCATAGAATCTGAGGCCTACACTGAGAATGAAGCCATAGGATCTGAGGCCTACACTGAGAAAGCCAAAGAATCCAGTGCCTATGGCTCAGATGAAGCCATGAGATCCGAGGCCTACACTGAGGAAAAAGCCACAAAATCTGAGACCTATGGTGATGAAAAAGCCATACAGTCCGAGGCCTATGCTGTGAATGAAGCCATAGAATCCGAGGCCTATGGTGCAAATGAAGCCATAGAATCCGAGGCCTTCACTGAGGAAAAAGCCATAGGATCTGAGGCCTACACTGAGGAGAAAGCCATAGGCCCCGCAGCCTACACCGTGTCTGAAGCCCCAGGCCCCGCGGCCTTTGACACCTCTGAAGCCACAGGCCCCGCGGCCTACACCAGCCTTGAAGCCACAGCCCCCACGGCCTCCGCCCCTTCTGAAGCCACAGCCCCCGCGGCCTATGCCCCGTCTGCAGCCCTGGGCCCTGTGGCCTACGGTGGCTTTGAGTCCGCCATGGCAGGCCGGGCGCAGCGCGTGTTCGTGGTGGCGTCGCGGGCGCCAGCAGCCACGGCTCTGACGCTGCCTGAGGGCGCCGCGCTGCGGCTGGGCTGCCGAGCGGAGGCGGAGCCGGCGGCGCGCGTGGGCTGGCTGCTGCCGGGCGGGCGCTGGGCCTGGGCGGGGACGGAGCTGGGGACGGACGGCGTCGGGGTCGGGGCGGACGGGACGCTGACGCTGCCCACGCTGGGCCCAAGGCACGCCGGGCGCTATGTGTGAGTGGCTTCCAACGCGCTGGGGCTGGCGCGCTGGGACGCCGACGTCAGCGTGGGCGGGGCGGCGGGGGACAAGATGGCGGAAGCCAAGATGGAAGGCAACAAGATGGCGGAAAGCAAGATGGAGGGAATTAAGATGGTGGATTCTAAGATGGTGGACACCAAGATGGCGGAATCCAAAATGGAGGGAAGCAAGATGGCCGAAAACATGGCAGAATCTAACATGCCCGACGCCAACATGGCGGATTCCAAGATGGCCAAAAACAAGGTGGTGGACACCAAGATGGAGGGAACCAAGATGGTGGAATCCAAGATGGAAGAAAACAAAATGGCGGAAGCCAAGATTGCAGAATCAAACATGGAGGGAACTAAGATGGCGGAAGCCAAGATGGCCGAAAACATGGTGGAATCCAACATGGCCGACACCAACATGGCGGATTCCAAGATGGTGGACGCCAAGATGGCGGAATCCAAAATGGAGGGAAACAAGATCAGGGAGAGCAACATGGCAGAATCCAAGATAGAAGGAATCAAGATGGCGGAAAACAAGATGGAAGGAATAAAGATGGCCGAAAACAAGGTGGTGGAATCAAAGATGGAGGGAACCAACATGGCGGAATCCCAGATGGAGGAATCCAAGATGGAGGGAATTAAGATGGCGGATTACAAGATGGTGAAGGCCAAGATGGCGGATTCAAAAATGGCGGATTCCAAGATGGCGGGCGCTGCTGCGGAAGCGGCCGCGGGGGCGTCGCGTGGCGCTGACGTCATTGTTGACGTGCCTAGCTCGGGCCTGGGCACCGGAGAAGCGCGGCTGTGGCGTCGGCGTCCTGCGGGCGGCCCGGGGCGTGGGCAGCAGCGGCGTCTGCCGCCTCCGCCTCCCCCTCCCGCCCCCCGCGCCGCCCCCGCCAGCCGCAGTTTCGAGCCCGCCTTGCCGCGCCGCCCGCGCCCGCCAGTGGCTGCCGAGCACATCCGGCCTGAGCACTGGGCGCAAATCCTGGCGCGCGTGCGCGGCCGCGGCACGGGTGACTTCCGGGCCCCGCCCGCCCTGCTTCCTGTCTCCACGGAGACCTCCTCGCTTCCGGTGTCCACACTTCCGGTTTCTACACTTCCGGTTTCGACGCAAATATCCCCACTTCCGGTCTCTGTGTCTTCCGCCGACCCACTTCCGGTCTCCACTCAGACCTCACCACTTCCGGTCTCCACTCAGACCACCCCACTTCCGGTCTCCACACTGCCGGTTTCCACTAAAACATCACCACTTCCTGTCTTCACTACTTCCGCCTACCCACTTCCGCTCTCCCCGCAGACCTCCCCACTTCCAGTCTCCACTCGGACTCCTGTACTTCCTGCTTCCACACTTCCAGTTTCCACTCGAAAATTCCTACTTCCGGTCTCCACTCGGACCACCCCACTTCCGGCTTCCACACTTCCGGTTTTGTCTCGAACATCCCCACTTCTGGGCTCCACTCGCAGATCTACACTTCCGGTCTCCATAAGGAGATCCCCACTTCCGGTCTCCATTCGGACTACCCCACTTCCTGTCTCCCCACTTCCGGTTTCCACTCGGAAATCCACAGTTCCGGCCTCCACTACTTCGGCCTACCCACTTCGGTTTTCGACTGAGAGATCCCCACTTCCGGCTTCCACACCTCTAGTTTCCCCACGGAACTCCCCACTTCCGGTCTCCAGTCGGACCACCCGACTTCCGGTCACCACTCAGAGATTCCCACTTCTGACTTCCACACTTCCGGTCTCCCTACGGACCTCTCCACTTCTGGTTTTGACACGGACATCCCCACTTCCGACCTCCACCCCTCGAGCATCCGCTGCTCCGACCTCTGCACTTCCGGCCTCCTCACTTCCGGCCTCCTTACTTCCGGTCCCCAGGAGGCTCGGAGGCGGCCGCAGGCGGGGGCGACAGCACAAAGCCCACTGCGCCCGGCCGGGCCCCACGGCAAACCCCCGTGACCCCGTGGTCACGACCCTGCACGGCCGTGCCCCGGATGCCCTCCTTTCCCGTCCTGCGGCTTCCCCCGATGGTGACCCCAGGACCTTTGACCCGCGACCCCCGGCCCTGCCCACCGTGACCCCGCCCCGTGGCGCCTGGAACGAGCTGGACACGGGTGAGCCTCAGTTTACCCATCTGTCTCCTGCAGGCTCTTGGCTTGGGGACGGGGGACTGAGGGGAGCCAGATAGGAGGTGGAGATTAGAGGTCACAGGGAGGATACAAGACGGTCAGAGGTCATGGGGAGGTTAGGGGTCACGGGGGGTCAGAGGTCACAGGGAAGTCAGGGGTCACAGTAGGGTCAGCGGTTGCAGAGAGGTCAGAGGTCATGGAGAGGTCACGGGGAGGTGAGAGGCCATGGGCAGGTGAGAAGTGGATGGGAAATCAAAGGTCATGGGGAACTCAGGGGTCATGGAGAGGTCACGGGGAGGTCTTGGGTGGGTCACTGGGAGGTCAGAGGTCATGGGGAAGCCAGGAGTCACAGGAGGTCAGAGGTCACATAGTCAGAGGTCATGGAGAGGTCACAGGGAGGTCAGGGGTCACTGGGAGGGCAGAGGGCATGGACAGGTCAGAGAGCATGGGGAGGGGAGGGGTGAAGTCCTTTACTCTGTCTGTCTGTTGTCTGTGTTCCTGGCCGTGTGGGGCACAGGATGACTGGGGAGACAAACACACACGCACGCACAGACAGACATAGAGCAGACAGATAGAGGGACGGATGGATAGACAGACAGACAGACAGACAGATAGGTGGATAGATGGATGAATGGACAGATAGAGCCATAGAGAGACAGACAGACAGATGGACAGAAGGACGGATAGACAGGTAGACAGACAGTAGACAGACGGACAGATAGACAGACAGATAGACTGATAGATAGATAAACAAATGGACGGATAGAGCCATAGACAGACAGACAGAGAGATACATGGACAGATGGATGGAGAGACAGACAGACATGGAAACATACATGGTTGGATGGATGGATAGATAGGTAGACAGACAGACAGCTGGATGGATAGATAGACCAATGGACAGATAGACAGAGCCATAGACAAAGAGATAGATGGACAGATGGATGGGTAGACAGACAGACTGATGGATATATAGACAGATAGGTAGACAGACACCTGGCAGACGGATGGATACAGAGACAGGTGGACAGATGGACGGACAGAAGGATGGATAGATAGGTAGACAGATAGTAGATAGATGGACAGATAGATAGGTAGACAGATAAACCAAGGGACAGATAGACAGAGCCATAGAGAGACAGACAGACAGATACATGGACTGATGGACAGATAAACAGACAGACTGATGGACGGATAGACAGAGCCGTAGACAGACAGACACCAGAAACATGGACAGATAGATAGAAAGAGACAGACAGACCGACCAATGGAAGGATGGACAGACAGAGCCATAGAGAGACAGACAGACAGAGAGATACATGGACAGATGGACAGATAGACAGACAGACAGATAGAAACATACATGGTTGGATGGATGGATAGGTAGACAGACAGACAGACAGATAGATAGACAGACAGACCAATGGACGGATAGACAGAGCCATAGAGACAGATAGACAGAAGAATGGGCAGAGACGAACAGAGGGACAGATGAACAGATAGATAGATGGACCAATGGACAGATAGACAGACAGAGGTATACACAGAGAGACAGATGGACAGATGGATGGATAGACAGACGGGTAGATGGATGGATGGATTGAAAGAGATAACATGGACAGGTGGGTGGGTAGACAGACGGATGGACCGATGGATGTATAGACAGATAGGTAGACAGACACCAGACAGACAGGCAGAAAGACAGAGAGACAGGTGGACAGACAGATGGACAGATAGCTAGATGGATGGACCAGTGGACAAATAGACAGAATCATAGATAGACAGAGCAATGGACAGATAGACAAACAGAGTCATAGACAGAGAGAGAGAGAGAGAGATGGATGGAAGGAAGGATACACAGGTAGGTAGACAGTAGATAGATGGATGGACAGATGAATGGACAGACAGATACATCGGTGGACAGAGTGACACAGACACATGGACAGATAGACGGATGGACTGATGGATGGATAGACAGATGGACAGAGAGAGACAGAGGGACAGAGAGACAGAGGGACAGACAGAGGGACAGAGAGACAGAGGGACAGACAGATGGACAGAGAAACGGACGGACAGACAGATGGACAGACGGACGGACAAGTAGACAGACGAACAGACAGACTGACAGAGACAGACAGACAGAGGGACAGACAGACAGACATAGACAGACTGACAGATGGATAGACAGACGGACAGAGAGATGGACAGAGAAACGGACGGACAGACAGATGGACAGATGGACGGACAAGTAGACAGATGAACAGACAGACTGTCAGAGACAGACAGACAGAGGGACAGACAGACAGACAGATGGATAGACAGATGGACAGAGAGATGGACAGCCGGACAGACAGAAAGACAGAGGGACAGAGCACTGTCTCCGACCAGCACAGGGGCCCTTATCCAACGCCCTGTCCCTCTGTCCCTCCCTCCGTCCATCTGTCCATCCCCAGGCATAGAGCTGACCCCAGCGGCGCCTGACATGCGTGGGACGGACACGAGTGGATCTGACGCTGGCACAATGGACACGCGTGGAAATATCACACATGGATCTGAAACTCACATGATGGTCATGCATGGAAAGGACAGGAGTGGACCTCACAGGAGCAAACTGGACACGTGTAGGCCTGCCACTGACTTGATGATCACGTGTGAAAATGTCACACGTGACATGGACACGATCAGATCCCTTCCACACTCACTGGACATGCGTGAAACGCACATAACTGCATCTGACATGAGTGGAAATGTCACACGTGTAAATGTCACACGTGTAAATGTCACGCGTGAAAGGGACACGATCATGTCCGTTATTCATAGGACTAACACCAGTGGAAATGTCACGCGTGGATCTGACTCTAAGATGGTGGTCACGCGTGGAAATGTCACACGTGAAAGGGACACGATCAGACCCCTTCTGCATGGACTTGACACTCTTAGAATGCACATACGTGGATCAGACACGCGTGCAAATGTCACGCTTGGATATGACAGGCGTGGAATGGACACGATCAGGTCCGTTATTCATAGACCTGACACGCGTGAAAATGTCACACGTGAAAATGTCACGCGTGGAATGAACACGATCAGGTCCCTTCTGCATGGCCCTGATACTCTTGGACCGCACATGCATGGATCTGACACGCGTGTAAATGTCACGCGTGAATCTGACACTCACACAATGGTCACACGTGGAAATATCACTCGTGAAAGGGACATGATCACATCCCTTCCACACTCACCTGATACACATGAAGCACGCATGCGTGGCTCTGACACACGTGGAAATGTCATGCACGCCTCCCCCTCTCCCCCCGTGCTGCGCGAGGCGCCCACGGAGTTCGTTTCGGCCCACGCGGGCCTCACCCTGCACCTGCCCTGCACAGCCCAGGCCTGGCCCCCTGCGGCCCTGCACTGGCGTCTGCCTGACGGGACCCACATGAGACCCGTGCATGCGCACACGCACCCTCGACTCAGCGACATCTACGTCCTCCCCAATGGCACGCTGGTGCTGCGCCGCCTGCAGGCCCCGCGCCATGCCGGTGAGTACGAGTGTGTGGCCGCCAACGCGCTGAGCAGCGCGAGACGCACTGTGCACGTCGAAGTCACACCTGCGCACGCGCGTCTCCCCCCCAGCATCCGACCCCGAGGCCCGCTTGCCACGCGTGTGCCCCACGGCGCTGACCTCACGCTGCATTGCCACGCGCGTGGGGACCCTGCCCCACGCGTGTTCTGGAGGCTGCCAGATGGGCGCCTGGTGGATGCTGGGAGCAGGTGAGTGTGGGAAGTGGGGGGCACATCCATCCATCCACCTGTGCATCTACCCATCCACACATCCATCAGCCACTCATCCATCCACCCATCCACCCACCCATCCATCCATCCATCCACTCACCCATCCATCCATCCACCCATCCACCCACCCATCCATCCATCCATCCACTCACCCATCCATCCATCCACCCATCCATCCATGCACCCACACATCCATCCATTCATCCATCTACCCATCCATCCACCCACCCATCCACCCATCCATCCATCCATCCCTCCATTCATCCACCCATCCACTCATCCATCCACCCATCCATCCATCCATCCCTCCATCCATCCACACATCCACTCATCCATCCACCCACCCTTCCACCCACCCATCCATCCACCCATCCATCCACCCATCCATCTACCCATCCACCCATCCATCCATCCATCCATCCACCCATCCATCTATCCACCCATAGTTGGGATAAAGATGATACCCCTTGATAGATAGTTAATTGATAGAGGATGGATTAGACAGATGACATAGATACAGTAGACCATAGATAACAAATCGATTATCGATTAAATATTGCTAGAGATGAGGTGGGGATGGTAGATCCATTAGCAGTGAATAGGTAATTGATAGGTCCTGGCTTGCCAGATCGCAAGGTAGAACCCTAGTGATCGATCATTGATAGATGATCGATCAGGGATCGATACAAGATGAGTATTGGATGCATATGTCACATGTGCGAATAACTAACATTGGCTTCAAATTTGTCTTCCCTTCCTTATGGTCTTTCCTCCTATTACTTCCTTCCCTCCTTCCTTCCCTCCCTCCTTTCTTCCTTCCCTTCTTCCTTCCCTCCTTCCTTCCTTCCCTCCGATCCTTCCTTCCTTCCCTCCAATCCTTCCTTCCTTCCTTCCTTCCCTACATTCCCTCCTTCCTTCCAACCTCCCTTCCCTACATTCTCTCCTTCCTTCCCTCCAATCCTTCTTCCTTCCTTCCAATCCTTCCTTCCTTCCCTCCAATCCTTCCATCCTTCCTTCCCTCCAATCCTTCCTTCCCTCCCTCCAATCTTTCCTTCCCTCCAATCCTTCCTTCCTTCCCTCCAATCCTTCCATCCTTCCTTCCCTCCAATCCTTCCTTCCTTCCAATCCTTCCTTACTTCCCTCCAATCCTTTCATCTTTCCTTCCGTCCAATCCTTTCTTCCTTCCGTCCAATCCTTCCTTCCTTCCCTCCAATCCTTCCATCCTTCCTTCCCTCCAATCCTTCCTTCCTTCCCTCCAATCCTTCCTTACTTCCCTCCAATCCTTCCATCTTTCCTTCCGTCCAATCCTTCCTTCCTTCCCTCCAATCCTTCCTTCCCTCCGATCCTTTCATCCTTCCTACCCTCCAATCCTTCCTTCCCTCCAATCCTTCCTTCACCCTTCCCTCCTTCCTCCCCTCCTTCCTTCCTGCCCTCCCTCCCTCTCCCCTCCCCAGCTCTGACATCCGGGTCCGCGCCTTTCCCAACGGCACGCTCTCCGTGCGTCCGGTGACGTCACGTGACGCGGGGGAGTACGTGTGCGTGGCCCGCAACGCGGCGGGCAACGCGCATGCACGGCTGCGCGTGGAGTTGGTGGCTGGGCCAGGCGGCTCCTATCTGCAAACCCGGCTTCCCGTGACCCCTGTGACCCAGGACACCGACCCCAGGGAGGACTGTGCTGCCCACCACTGCCTCCATGTCCCATCCGGTGTCCTGGGAGACCCGGATGTTCGGGTCACGAGCCCTGATGGGATTGTGGGGATCTGGGACCTGGGGCCTGGGTTAGACCTCGGATGTGTGACCACGGGTGGGGGGGCGGGGCCTGGGGAGGGTTCTTCCTCTTCCTCTCAGTCACTTCCTTCTTCCTCTTCCTTTCCTGTTTCCTCTTCCTTTCCTTCTTCCTCTTCCTCTCATCCCTTCCTGTTCTCTTCCTCTCAATCTCTTCCTTCCTCTTCTTCCTTTCCTTCCTCTTCCTCTTCTCAGTCTCTTCCTTCTTCCTCTTCTTCACATTCTTTTCCTGTTTCCTCTTCTTTTCCTTGTACTTCCTCTTCTCCATCTCTTCCTGCTTCCTCTCATGTTTCCTCTTCTTCCTCTTCCTTTCCTTCTTCCTCTTCCTCTCAGTCTCTTCCTTCATTTCCTGTTTCCTCTTCCTCTTCACTTCCTGGTTCCTCTTCACTTCCTGCTTCCCCTTTGCTTCCTGCTTCACTTCCTGCTTCCCCTTCATTTCCTGCTTCCTCTTCGTCTCCCACTTCCGCTTCCGCCCCGCTACCGCCCGAGCTCTCCGTACCCTATGGCGCCCCCGTGACCCTCACATGCCCCGTGACCCAGGGGTCGCACGCAGTGACCTGGCTGACGCCGGCCTTGCAGCCCGTGGCCTTCACGTCCGGCTCGGAGGATGCCCACTTCCGTGTGCTGCCAGATGGGCGTCTGCGCCTGCGGGGGGCACGGCGGGCCGACGCAGGCACGTACACGTGCGTGGCGGGGCGGGGCCGGCGCGCCACCCTGCGCCTACACGTGCAGCTGCGGTCGCCGCACATCCGGGTCACACCTGACGTCCATGATGACGTGAACGAGGACATTCGGGTCTCCCCCGTGGTGCGTCTGCGCGTGCGCTGCCAGGCGGATGGCGTCCCCGAGCCCCGCCTGCTGTGGGAACTTCCGGGCGGGCTGGTACTTCCAGTCCCGTATCGCAGTCACACGGGGGGAGGGATCAGCGTGGATGCTCGTGGGACGTTGGAAATCCCGGATGTGCGTGCGCTGCGCAGCGGTGGCAGCTACGCCGTGGCATGCGTGGCGCGCAACCCGGCAGGAGAAGCCCGGGTGGGCGCGGGCTCTGCCCCCTGCGGTGTCGGCTCTGCCCTCTGAGGTATTGACTCCGCCCCCTGGCACGCCTGCCCCGCCATCTTGGGCGCCTGCCCCGCCATCTTGGGCGCTGACTGGGCCCTCTGAGGCATTGACTCCGCCCCCTGTTGCATTGGCTCCGCCCTCTGCCTGCCCCGCCATCTTGGGCGCTGACTGCACCCTCTGAGGCGTTGACTCCGCCCCCTGTTGCACCGGCTCCGCCCCATCACGCGCCTGCCCCGCCATCTTGGGCGCTGACTCTGTCCACTGGTGTGCTGGCTCCGCCCTCTGAGGCAGCTCCGCCCCCTGGCCCGCCTGCCCCGCCATCTTGGGCGCTGACTCCACCCCCTGACGCGCCGACTCTGCCCTCTGAGGCGCTGACTCCGCCCCCTGGGACGGCGTCGGAGGCGGCGCTGCGTGTGGTGCTGGGCGGCAGCTTCCGGCTGCGCTGCCCCACCTCCACGCTTCCGGTGTCCTGGCGCCTGCCCAGCGGGCTGGTGCTACGTGGGCCGCAGAGGCGAGGCCGCTTCACGCTGGGCGCCGACGGCAGCCTGGAGGTGCGCGCCGCCTCCGAGCGGGACCGAGGCACCTACATCTGCCATGCCCACCCCGGGGCGCCGCCCGGACACGCCCCCCGCGCGCCGGAGACCAGGATGTTCAGCTTCATTCCCGCCACTAGGCCGCTGGGTGCCATGGCAGGGCAACGGACTGAGGAGACGCGGATGTGGGGCTTCAGTCCCGCCGCTAGGCCGCGGCGTTCGGTTGCAGGGCAACCAAGTGAAGATACCAGGACGTTGGGCTCCACCGCAGCATCTAGGCCTCTGCGTTCGGTTGCCGGGCCACAGACCAAGAAGACCCGGATGTGGGGCTTCATTCCTGCCTTTAGGCCGCTGGGTTCGGTTGCCGGGAAAGCGCGTGAGACCCGGATGTCCAGCTCCAGCAAGACTCTTGGGCCCCAGCCAGAAGATGCCCGGATGTGGGGTTCCGAACCTGCGCGCGCTGTACAGAAGCTGCGGTTCGACCAGAGGCCACGGAGAGGCTAGGACCTGGAGGGACCCAGATGTGGACTGGGAAAGACCCGGATGTCACCTATCTTTGGGTCCACTGAAGGGCCAGGACCCGGATGTGGACTGGGAGAAACCCGGATGTCACTTTCTTCCATGTCCACTGACCCGGAAGTGGCATGGAGGAACCGGATGTCACTTTCCTCCAGATGCACTGATGGGTCTGGACCCGGATGTGGACTAGGAGGGACCCGGATGTCACCTTCCTTCATATCCACTGAGGGGCCAGTACACAGATGTGGACTGGGAGGGACCTGGATGTCACCCTCATTCGTGTCCACTGACCCAGATGTGGCCTGGGGAACCCGGATGTCACTTGTCTCCAGGTCCACTGAAGGGCCAGGACCTGGATGTGGACTGGGGGACCCGGATGTCACCTATCTCCAGGTCCACTGAGGGGCCAGGACCCGGATGTTGAGTGGGGAACCCGGATGTTATGTAAGTCCATGTCCATTAACCTGGATGTGGACTGTGGCAGGGACCCGGATATGTGCTGGGCAGGACCCAGATATCACATCCACAGGCCTGGCTGTGGGGTGTGGAGTCCCGGATGTCATGCTCCTCTCCTTCCACTGACAGGGTCTAGGACCCGGATGTGGCGTGGGGATCCCGGATGTCAGGTCCCTCCACATCCACTGAGGTGGACCCTCCTGGACGGACCAAAATGTGGAATGGGAACTACCCGGATGTTAGGGACCTCCAGGTCCGTGAACCCGGATGTGGGTTGGGTACTCGGATGTTAGGGACCTCCAGGTCCATGAACCTGAATGTGGGGTGAGTACCCAGATGTTAGGGAACTCCAGGTCCATGAACCTGGATGTGGGGTGAGTACCCAGATGTTAGGGACCTCCAGGTCCGTGAACCCGTATGTGGGGTGGGTACCTGGATGTTAGGGATCTCCAGGTCCGGGAACCCAGATGTGGAGGCGAGTACCAGGATGTCACTTATCTCCAGGTCCACTGGAAGGCTCCAGGACCCGGATGTGAGGGGTTTGGACCCGGATGTGAGGGTTGGGACCCACATGTGAGGGGTTGAGACCCAGATGTGAGAGGTGGAACCCGGATGTGGGCGGAGCAGGCGCTCCACACCTTGGCCCCGGGCTCCAGCTGCGCTTTGGCCGTTGGGGTCCTTCCTCAGACTCGGAGGCAATAAAGCAGCCATGCTGCTTCTGGATGGAATTCTTCCTCACTTCTGTCCCAGCGCAGGCCAAGCCCTCCTGAGTCCCTCACTTCCTCCCCAGCCCAGGCCACACCCTCCTGAGTTCTGGCCACGCCCTACTGAGCACAGGCCACGCTCCCTGATGGTCCTGACTCTTATTGCAGCCCTCCATGTAGTTCTCGAGGTTTCCCTCCTCCCCTTCCTCCTGCCTCTGCCAGGCCTGGCAATTTCTTGGCGCCCAGCCCAACAACTCCGGGCTTTTCCCTTCCTTCCCCGCCTTCCCCTTCAGCACCACATCCTGTTCCTTTCCAAGGGACAAGGGGACTTTTATTTTGGAGGGGGCTTGTGGAGTTCTGGCTGCTGGAGTGATGTGGACATTTGAGCCCTGCGAGCTTCCTGGCTGGCAGGGAGAGCAGCAGACCCAGGCGCTGATGGCAGAGAACTGAGGATGTGAGTTCGTCCTCTGCGGAACACAGGGAGAGGTGTGGGGACCTGGGGTGGGGGGGCTTCGATTGCTTTTTGGAGCCCCCCGGATGTCCCACCATGCCCCGGGGTGGGGGCTGCAGGGCCCCGCCACAGGCCTGGAAAGATGAGGTGAGGGGCTGATGTACTGGTGGGGGCAACAGCAGCCTGGCCCTGGCGTGGCCGGATGTTCCTCAGCTCTTCCCCACTTCCTGCTTCCGGCCTTCTCTTCCAGGAAACGGGGAGCATCATGGGAAGGACGCGATCCTGGGTGCCATGTTGGTCAGGAGAGGGCCTGGAGGGAGGGGGAGCCCTTCCATCTCCCATCCACCCATCCATCCATACACCCATCCACCTATCCATCCATCCATCCATCCACCCATCCACCCATCCATCCATCCACCCATCCATCCATCCACCCATCCACCCATCCAACCATCCATCCATCCACTCATCCACCTATCCATCCATCCACCCATCCATCCACCCATCCACCCCTCCTCCTCCTCTCTCTCCTCCTCAGGTTGCACAGCAGCTGCGTGGCCCCACCCCTCACCTTCCTCCTCCTCCTCCTCCTCCCCCCTGGCCCCTGCGCAGGCCCTGCCCCCTCGCGTCCCAACTTCCTGCTGCTCTTGGCCGACGACCTGGGCCTGGGTGACCTGGGCAGCTTCGGGAACCGCAGCCTGCGGTGAGCAGAGGGGGCGGCCCGGATGTAGGGCCTTAGTTACCCGGATGTGGGAGCTCAGATCCCTGGATGTTCCACCAGGAGAACTGTATAGACATCTAGTAACTCAGTTCCCTGATTGTTGGATGTTAGTATCGTGGATGTTGGATATCAAATCCCCGGATGTTGGATCTTAGTGCCCTGGATGTTGGATATCAGGTCCCCGGATGTTACATGTTAGTACCCCGGATTTGAAGATCAGGTCCCCGGATGTTGGAGACCAGGTCCCCGGCTGTTGGATCTTAGTGCCCCGGATGTTGGATATCAGGTCCCCGGATGTGGGAAATCAGGTTCCCGGATGTTGGACTTCAGTTCCCCGGATGTTGGATGTTAGTACCCCGGATGTTGGAGACTAGGTCCCTGGATGTTGGATGTTAGTGCCCCGGATGTTGGATATCAGGTCCCTGGATGTTAAATCTTAGTACCCTGGATGTGGGAGATCATGTCCCCAGTTATTGGACTTCAGTGCCCCGGATGTAGGAGCTCAGGTCCCCAGATGTTGGAGGTTAGTGCCCCGAATGTGGGAGCTCAGGTCCCTGGATGTTAGATATTAGTACCCCGGATGTTGTAGCTCAGACCCCGGATGTTGGATCTTATTCCTCCGGATGTAGGAGCCCAGGTGCCTGGATGTTAGATCTTAGTGTCCCAGATGTTGGATATCAGATCCTCGGATGTGGGATGTTAGTGCCCTGGATGTTGGAGGACAGGTCCACGGATGTTAGATCTTAATGCCCCGGATGTGGGAAATCAGGTTCCCGGATGTTAGATGTTAGTGCTCCGGATGTTAGATGTTGGAGGACAGGTCCACGGATGTTAGATGTTAGTGCTCCGGATGTTGGAGATCAGGTCCCCGGATGTTAGATGTTAGTACCCCGGATGTTAGATGTCAGGTCCTCGGATATTGGAGATCAGGTCCCCGGATGTTGGAGATCATGTCCCCGGATGTTGAATCTTACTGCCCTGGATGTTACATGTTAGTACCCCGGATGTTAGAGCTCAGTTCCCCGGATGTTCCACCAGGAAAACTGTATAGACATCTAGTGGATCTCAGGTCCCCGGATGTTGGAGTTCAATTCCCAGGATGTTAGGTCTCAGTTCCCTGGATGTTGAAGATCAGGTCCCCGGATGTGGGATGTTAGTGCCCCGGATGTTGGAGATCAGGTCCTCGGATGTTAAATCTTAGTATACCCCAGATGTGGGAAATCAGGTTCCCGGATGTTAGATGTTAGTACCCCAGATGTTGGAGATCAGGCCCCCCGGATGTTGGAGATCAGATCCCTGGATGTTGGATCTTAGTGTCCCAGATGTGTTGCCCGGATGTAGGCCCTCAGGTCCCCGGATGTTGGGCCTTAGATCCCCGGATGTAGGAGCCCAGTCCACAGATACAGATCTTAGTACCCTGGATGTTAGACCTCAGGTCCCCAGATGTTGGATCTTAGTACCCCGGATGTGGGATCTCAGGTCCCCGGATGTTGGATCTTAGATCCCCGGATGTGGGATCTCAGGGCCCCGGATGTTGGAGTTCAGCTCCTGGGATGTTGGGCATTAGATCCCCGGATGTTAGACCCCAGGTCCCCGTATGTTCTTGGCTGTGACTCAGTTTCCCTCTCCCCCCACAGCACCCCGCACCTGGACGGCCTGGCCCGGGACGGCGTGCGGCTGACCCAGCACTTGGCGGCAGCGTCTGTCTGCAGCCCGAGCCGCGCGGCCTTCCTGACGGGACGCTACCCTGTGCGCCTGGGTTGGTATGGGGGGGTGGGACATCCGGGGAACGGAGGGGGTGGTGAGGGGAAGGCGGGGGTGGGACACCCGGGGATCTGAGAGCCAACATCCGGGGTACTAAGATCCAACATCCGTGGACCTGATATCCAACATCTGGGGATCTGAGACCCAACATCCGGGGATCTAAAGCCCAACATCCGGGGAACTGAGCACCAACATCCGGGGCACTGAGCTCTAACATCCAGGGACTTTATCTCTGACATCCGGGTTACTAAGATCCAACATCCGGGGATCTGAGGCCTAACATTCTGGGAACTGAACTCCAACATCCGAGGACCTGACATCCACCATCCGGGGTACTAAGATCCAACATCCGGGAACCTGAGCCCCAACATCTGGGGAACTGAGCTCCAACATCTGGGGATCTGAGGGCCAACATACCCGAATCTGAGCTCCAATATCCGGGGTTGTAAGATCCAACATCCAGGGAACTGAGATACAACATCCGGGTAACTGAAGTCCAACATCTGGGGTCCTGATATCCACCATACAGGGCACTGAACTCCATCATCCGGGGACCTGAGGTCCAACATCCAGGGAGCTGAGGATCAACATCTAGGGCACTGAGGTCCACCAGAGGGAGGGAAGGACTACTCTGAGGATCTCAGGTTCAAATTCCTGAGACTCTGGGACTTCCCCCCTGAACCGCCAGGAAACCGGAAGTGATGCCATATTGGTTTCCCCGGGGGCTCCCAGGGCTGGGGTCCTTTCCACCCCGGGTGGGCAGGTCCCAGGCTATCCCAGACACAGCAGGCCTTCCCCCTGAAGGTGCTAGATGCCTCCTCCTGACCCGGGACGCCATCATCACTGACCTAGGGTCCTTCTCCTCTCTCTTGGAAGGTATGGTTACCAC